GCTCAAGGTGATGATTCGAACAAAGATGTTAAGCACAACCTGAAGTATTATCAGGGGCCTTCTCAGGCCAAAACCAAGCACGCGGACCAACAGAATGAGCCAACGGAATAGCCAGATTTTGTGGCCTCAGGAATCGCTTTCGTCTTTTCGGTAAAGAAGCAATTTTTCTAGTCAGATTAAGGAGTGTTTAAACCAAAAACATTGTGACCCGCAAATCACAGGAACGATGAAATAAATCATCGTGAGTTGTTCATTTCTTACTGAATATCCACCATCCGCATATTCGACAGCAAACCGTAAGAATTCGAGAAGTCTAGAAATCGTAGACGAACTGACGGCTGCCCCCTATCGCTACGCCAAGGGGGTACCTAAATTTCTGTAGCCTACACTTCGAAGAATCCAAAAGTTCTAGTCGATTTATGGCCATTATTTATTACTCATGCTGTATCCTTATTATTTATTTTGCCATTCCTTATTAGAGTTCTTAGGCAGCCGGCAGAGCAGAGAAAGCTTAATGCAAATAGTCCCCCAGTAAGGCAAAGCATCTGGCGCGTCTCCTAGACCGCTGCTATGAATACCTTTTATTAACACTAAAACGATAAACCATAAAGTTAACTTTAAAATAGCTGTTTCTCATGACTGAAATTGTCGTCCAAATTGTGGTTACTTTCTGTGCTTTTCTCTGCCTAACGTTTGTTGACTACAAATTAAAATAAATTAAAATATTTTTTTGGGTGGATGGAAGCTAAAGTTACGCTTGGCCATAACCTATACCATGTATTATTCCAACAGACTGACTGTGTAGTTGTTTATCACAACTCTAAAAAAAGGCCAAGACAAGGCTATATACTGCAACAACACCAATGTGATTACGCTAAGAAATTTCCAATGGTAACAATATGCACTTTACTGTCAATTAATTAAACTGGCTTGTACGGCGAAAAGCATTTGTCTGAAAGAAAAGCAGGGCTGCAGATCTTACAGAATGCATCATCACCATTCCTTGCTACTTTTCGCTGCCATGGATTTTTGTTTTAAAATACGAACTGAGCAGAAAAAAGATTCTTTAGCAGTTTGATAAAGAGTAAAACCAAAAGTTCGTTTTCAAAGTGATTATGAAAGCTTACTTCAAGCTCGTAACTAAACTGTTGTAATTTCCAAGCCCGAATGAGAAAAGGAGGGTTGCAGTTGTTATCACTCGTCCCTCATGGTACTTACGTTATTGAAATTTATGCAGCATTCGTCGACGCCCGGGTTAAAAGGCGACACGCATGCTGTTGGGGGAACTGAGACATACTGCACAAACCCTGCGATCAGAACTTGATCCATACATTGTGCAGCATGGGAACCAGCAGCATGGCGACAACTGCCGTAGACATACAAACAGATCGCGCCAGTCAGAAACGAAGTCGCTACTCGTTCTGAAACGAAGAGCCTGATCCCCCATACCACTGCAGCACGTAGGATAAGCTTCCAACCAAACGATAAAGATATTGGAAGCTTACAGTCGGAAATTGGAAATCTCCCTACTCAGAGAGAAAGAGCACGAACGAGTCGCAAGGTACCAATTTGACATAGTTGAACTGATGCATGAAAACGCCACAGCTGTGGAATTCTGAACCTCTGACCTGCAAATGTTGATACTCAGATATCGATTCTACGAACTGCGCTCGGGCTGGTGCTGCTGTCCCAGTAGAACCCAAAATACTTGACATACCCACTGAATGCAAGCCTGTCGGAACAACAGCCAATAATCCTTTTGCAACAAGCGAAAGATTTGGTAATGCCGTTTGATTAACTGCCAAATTCAGAGGCAGCGTATTCGTATTTTCTGGATGAAGATACTCTAAAAGATGTGCCGCCCATGCAATCCACCATTTTGATGCACAACATAATGCAGATGTCAGAGCAAACACCGAAAAGTGGAAAAGCTAAGATGAATTATCCTACCATTGTTAACATACTAAAGTTGTTGCCCTAATGCGCAAACAACGGACTGTCCATTATAAACAACTTCCTCGACCATCGAACAGTGCATCAGTACACCTGGTTCCAGGGAGCTTTTGCAAAGAAGTCAGTGATAGATTTGATAAACGTATCGTCTGACTTACGACGCTCAGTAATGAATGTTCTCGTTAAGAGACGCAGAAAACTATCAATCGATCATCACCTTGTTGCTGGCACGCTATGCTATAAGAAATGAAGCACCACCCGAAGATCTGATGGCAGAAGCAACCGAAGAATCAAACGAGAAACCTTATCCTCGGTAGACACGAGAGATAAATTTGCAAACGTAGTACGACAATTTGAACAGATCCCAGTGATGACCATAGATGTGAAAACC